AACAATAATAATAATAATAACAATAATAATAATAATAACAATAATAATAATAATAATAATAACAATTTATTGACAGTATTTCTACATGGTAGCTCTACATCTGTCATACTAAGTAAAAACTAACGACTTACGTAATGTTATTCAAGAAACATTCACTAAAATACTATACTTAGATACCATGAGTGGCCATAACTGAGAAACCTTGTTGAGACAACTTATAAGGTTAAGCACATGTTTGCTCTGTCCTTAAAAATTGTACAAAAATTATTTTCAAATTAAAGTATTTGAAGCCTGGACATCTCTTCACACTTGTGGGTAGGGCATTGAATATTAAGTCACTAATGAGTCCTGAAAAGTACCCTTAACTAGAGAAATTTCTATAAAAGGTGCATTACCAGAGCCTAGTGTACTTGTAAAAGAAAAGAAAAGGCTTCAAGTTTTTGTCAAAATCGAGTGACTGTACATGGAATGAAATTTAGCAACATGTACAAGTGATTTCAACCTACCTCCTGTAGTCAGGGTTATAGTTGTCACATTATGACCATAGTATGGAAACTCAAAAGACAGTTCCAAATTCTTGATAGCCAATCCCTTGCCTGATAAATGGTCATCAAGAACACTTCCTACCCTCTCCCTGAGATCAGACCACAGGTGCTGCCCTTCATGAAGGACCTCTATAGCATAGTAAGTGTGATTGTCCTAAGAATTGTGTAAATTGGAGTGTAGTTAAGGTTCTATTTAATGCAAAAGAGCTTAAGTTGGAAGACTTGCTAATCAGTGAGGTTGCTTAATGTCAAGAACAAAAACTTAAGAATGATGCTACTGCATTCAGTTTATCTGTGTCAGGGTGAAAAAGTTGGAAATAGAACAACTTTTTCCTCCTACACATTTACTTTGGATTATTTATTTAAGTTATAAGCTTTTGCATATTACTTTAATTGGTTGTTAACTAAGGGAAGACAACTATAAAGTCAATGATGACTGAATACCTCACTTAATACCCCATGTCTTCCTACTTCAAGACTTCACAAAGATCTTGACTTAAGAAAGGCGCAGAGAGCTACATGTACCTGTACTGTTGTGTTTGAAACAGTATGTGTCTCTCTCTTCTTGCGAATCTTGACTAGCTCTTCTGTTATTCTGGGTAGAGTGCTTCTGGTCAAACCCTTGTCCTCTTGGATTTTATCAATTGAAAACGCTGTTTTACAGTAATAAAAGAAAACATTTTTATTGACTGCCTCATGTAAGTTTATTTCTTGCAAGGGCATATCAATTTTACTCTCAATAGATTTCAGTTAATGGGAGCTGCAACTGAAGTTGTGATCAGGAGAGAAAAAAAAAAACTAACTTAACTTCAGTTACAGGGTGTACATGTGCATCACAAAAATATAAATATCATTATCACCTCCGATCAGACTACACCTTCAAATATCATTATGGTAACCAGAGTTTTTTTTTATTACCTTAACGGTTGGATCTGCAGGGCTCAGACAACAACAATGGGAAGGTTACATGGGTAAAATAAAAAGTTTTGGATAGGGACAGCATCATTTGAAGTGTTAACAGCGAACAGCAATGTACACTTTGAGAGAATTTGACCGTATCTTTTATAAAAATCACATCCTCAGAAGGAACTAGTTTATTACTGTAATTAAATCCTTCATGAGGATTGCCTTACTTCAGCAGCTGTATCAGCTTTTCATTCAAGTGGAAGTACCCATGTCTTCCATCGTCACTCTGTGAATATAAAATATAAAAAAAAAACTCACCTTGAGGCTGACATCTTGAGCGAATTGAAACATCGAAGGTTGCTAGGAAAAGCAAAACAATCCGGAGTAGAGTGACGAGTTTTCTTTCTAACCACAATAACCAAAACATTGATCATTCAAGCCAATATTTCGAGCATAATGAGGGCAAGGGTAAACTGGAAATTTGTGCGACGAGAATGTTTGTCAGCTTGACTACAAACAAGAACCTATCACGTCGTAAAAAACATGCATGACTAAGCCGCAGTGGAGCGAGACAATTCAATCGCTATACAGCTGTAGCAATTTCCACGCAATTTCTTGTCATTACTTCCCAAGAAAGATTAATTAGACAAAGTATATATTAAGGGAGAAGAAATATTGGACATATTCAATGGAGTCCGTTGTACTACAGAAAATTAACAGAATTTTACTTCATCCCTTGTCCACTCTTCCACATGATCCACCATGTTGGCCGTTTCAATGTGAGAGGCCTGGATCTTAAATAATCTGATGAGGAACTGGGGTAGAGCTGGAGGAGGGTACCGTACTTACCTTTGACCACATTCAGCACGCTTCACCAAAACTGTGCCCAATAGATTAATAGATGCAACAATTGAAACCGTCTAAATCAGGTTAAGCTATCTGCACAGTTTACATTAGATAAACCCACCGCTCTGCTGTAGATACAGGTCTCTTCTCTGTCAACAGTAAAGAAGCTATCTACACTGTCTATAGCAGATACAGCGGGGCCGGGGCCGAGACCGGTCATTTCGATACGAAGTCGTCTCGATACAAGTTGAATCAATACAAACCGAAGTCGGTTCGATATATCAATGAAATCGATTCGATACATATAGAAAGTCGTTTTAATACAAATCCAGTCATTTCGATACAAACTGACTTACTTGACTTAAGCCTTTTGGTCCCCTGAGGAACACAGGGCCGTAACAACACTCCTCCAACGCACTCGGTTCTGTGCTGATACAAACTGATGAAGGATAAATTTTGATGTCTTCAGTGCATAATTTTAGTTCACTATGCTGTCCATGGCAGGTACAGCAACACTTTCCAATGTAGATACAGCTACCCTCGGATGATAGAAGTCGTTTCAATACAAATTGAAGTCGATTCGATACATCGATGAAGTCGATTTGATAAACATAGAAAGTCGTGTTTCATTTTACAAATTGTGTTTTCTTAAGTTTTAGAAATCCATTACGACTTTTTTATTTCCAAAAGATTTTTAATAATTTGTATGTAATTTTTATATTTTTAGATCTTAGTAAAAATTGGTATTTTTAGCTTTTATTATCTATGTAGAGTTGAATTTTTAACATTTAATTGTAATGCGCGATTGAAAACTTTTCTATTGATAATTGCGCAATAGAAGTCAGTAAATTATCATTATAGTTATTATTATCATTAAAACAGACGAAATACATTGACATCGATTGTCCAGTACACAGTACATCTATTTGTAACTTAAATGCCCAGCCATATATAATCAGCTCAAAAAGGCGTAGGTAGAATTACAGCCGTTGGGATAAGGTACAAATGATCTTGGTGGTCGTTTAATTCCGTGAAATGGCTCTTGTCTGAGGGGGTAAGTGATAGGCTGTATAGAATACATACCACTCGCAAATATTTTTTATAATGGTAATTAGGTAAATAGTCACCATGGGAGGGTAATCATGAAAATGGAAACTGTTATTGAGAGGGAAGGGGGTCATAAAAATAGAACTTGATATCACGTTGAACATACAAGGCGCAAATGTTTCGTCCGGTTACGACCCCTGACAAAGATAAGATTCTGGGGGAATTCTCAGTGGGAAGAGAAAACAGCAATCAATCTGGAAGATGGAATCCTTTAGACAGTACTTTAATAGACAGAAACAGTTGATACCTTTAATTATCAAAAGACTAGATGGCTCTGAGCCTAAGTATAAGCTGCAAGGGTTTTTTTTACTGTGCAGAAAAAAAAGGAATCTCGATACGCTGATTGTAATCCAAAAAGCAAATGTAAAAATTGGAATCACTGACCTCAAGTTTGAATTACAGGTATATAAACCCAAAACTAAGGGTTACCGGCATATAAGGGTTACCGGCATATAAGGGTTACCGGCATATAAGGGTTACAGGCATATAAACCCAAAACTAAGGGTTACCTCCGGTGGATTTATTGTTTCTACAGAAACTGGTTGCGTCTTAGAAAACACCTGGAATCGACCAGACGTGATCGATGTTTGCTCTGCTATCATTATTTGAGAGAAATAAACTAAGCAATAAACTGGAAAAAATAAGGAAACCGTTGTGAGCCTCCGTATGAAGAATTTATAACTTCCGCCAAAATACCTAATGTTAACCTCTAATGTTTCATACTTCCTATTGGTTGTTACTTGACTGAAAAATTTTGGGGAATTAATGGTAATCATGCATCGGCAAGTTTTGGGAACTTTATCGTTTTGCTTCGAAATATGGTACACGCTTTCTAAAATGTCAAACTTATCGATTTGTCGATTAATTGAATAAGTGTGCTATGACAACTTCAAAATTATTTACCATCATTTTTATTAGGAACTATATTAACTTGAAGCCATGTTACATTTCACACAGCTTTTAGTTCCCAGTACACTTGTAAGAGCGTCTTACTACTCCAGCCCTTTATAACGACCCGTAATACCTGCTTCCTTTGCATTGGAACAAGCTTTTACAAATATTTACCTTAGTAGTAAATTATAAAAATAAATAAATGAATTAGCCAGACGCAAATGCATTACATCTGACCATGCACATAGTTTATGTATGCGATGGGGTAAATACGCGTACGATTTATGGCTTAACATGCTGACACAGCATCGAACAAATGATGAGTAAGGTATAATAGTTAATTGGACATTCTCTCATTGACAGCCACTAGTGGATAACCAGAGAAAACATTACATTATTATAATAATGAAATGGCTAATCTATCAGCAGTTATATGGACAAGGACTTTGGAGAGCAACGCTGCCGCTTATAGAATTGTTTCCTGCGGGATGTCCACGAACTCGTCAAGATCATGGTCATCATCAAACGTGGCCAGTGGGGCCTTTGGAGATTCACGCCCCGAGGCTTCTGGGAAATTATCATCCGGTTTGTCTTTTTCTTTTGAGAAAGAGAGAAAAAAGAAACATCGGTTACTTTGGGGCAATAGAGAAATTAAAACCTTTACTTAAAGAATAACGAGTAAAGACTATTCCTGCCAGTCTTTCTTATCACAAAAAAAAATTATATATATATATATATATAAATATATATCGCAAGTCGTCAATGGAACTCTCAGGCCAACAAAGGTGCACCGCGCCAGGAGGATCAATAAAGATTCGCAGTCCAAACCTCACAGCCAATACGAACGTAGAAAGTTTAAAAAATTGCGAGGATGGACAACTTCTGACGTAAAAAATATAAAAAATTTTAGTAAAAAACGTTTCGGTCAGAGACCTTCTTCAGTTATTTACAACCTTGGAAATAAAAAAAGAGCATTAAATAGGATCGAAGTGCTAATGATTACGTAATTACAGATAACGACTAATGAACTGGTGCTAATAAACAAAAAACCTAACTACAAAGAAAGATGCAAGGGACAAAATACAAGAAGCAAACCCTAAAAACTAAGAGATAAGAATATGTTAATATGGGTGGCGTAATCAATTGCAAAGAAGCAATGCGGCGAGCATTAAAAAAGGGAATGCCCACTTTTTACTACAACTGTAAAACGTAACAAAATCCCAAAACAAGGCCTTTGGAGCCCGAAAGGGAAAATTAGCAACAAAATCCCTGGAGGGGCCCTTAAATGGGGCCCACAAAAGAGGCTTATTGGAGTGCTCAGTTGTTCTCTTTGGCATTTAATCATAAAAGACGCTTATTGGAGTGCTCAGTTGTTCTCTTTGCCACCCCATGGTTTGAATAAAAGAAAGGAATTTCATTCGAAAAATAGAATTTGCTATAATTAATTTTCCATCTTATATTAGGCGCTACTAATTGATCGTTCAAAGACCCTTTTCTTGGATTTTGTCGGCCCTTTAGGTGTGGATTGGACTCAAAGGCCCTGCCAAGGGATCTTATTATGATTAGTATCATTTAAGGGCCCCTCCAGGGATTTCGTTGCTAATTTGCCCTTTCGGGCTCCAAATGCCTTGTTTTAGGAATTTGTTACGGTTTACAGTTGTAGTTAAAAGTGGACCTCCTCTTTTTTAATGCTTACCGCATTGCTTCTTTGCAATTGGTTACGCCACTCATTTTAACATATTTAGTATTCTTATCTCTTAGTTTTTAGGGTTTGCTTCTTGTATTTTGTCCATTGCTTTCTTTGTAATTAGGTTTTTTGTTATCTTTTTATTAGCACCAGTTCATTAGTCGTTATCTGTAATTACTTAATCATTAGCATTTCGATTTTATTTAATGCTTTTTTTTTTTTTCAAAAGTTGTAATAAACTGAAGGTCTCTGACCGAAACATTTTTTATTAAAATTTATTATATTTTTGACGTCAGAAGTTGTCCATCCTCGCAATTTTTAAACTTTCTATATATATACACATATATGTATTAAAAACTGGATCACTGGATAATGCAATTTAAGACTTCTTATTGGCTTAGCCATTGTGGTATATGAGCCAATATACCATAATCTAATATCTGTACATTGTAACATCCGGTTTCTTCTTACAAAATAAAGTCGAGAAGATTTGTCTAATATCTTGGGGGCGTTTTTTTTAATAAAACAATTTTTCCAGTCGCTCTTGTTGGATATGAGATGATTTTTCTTGTGATTGAGAATTATTTGCGAGGAAGGACTTGTTGTGGGTGTTGATTTTTCTTTCCAAATTTGGCATACACGAATAGCTCACTTTCAAAGTGTTCCTATTAAAAATTTTTCTTAGCGGGTGCCTTGGTGTAAAGGATTCTTTTACGATGCCTAAAAATTTCTTTCCCACATTAATAGCAGTGTTCTTACTGAAAGGTGGGTTATACCAAGTTATATTTCGGTGTCTTCTTCTCCCTTCTCTACTCGTCTGGTCTTTAGTTGTTGTGTCAAATTTTAATTGGTGATTGTAGCCGCTTGTTTCTAACGCTTGCTGATACATGGGTGCTGCTTTGTCGAAGGATACCCTGTCCGATGAGATTTCGCTAAGCCTTTTATTGATCGCCAGGGGAATGTTCTTTAGGATGGAAGGTGGATGATTGCTTTCACGGTGCACATAAAGCGGTGCGTTGTTAGGCTTTGTATACGGCTCATAAGATCCTTTGTTTAGGTTCAAAGTGACATCGAGAAAGTTGACCACTTTTTTGTTTGCTTCGATAATTATTTTTAAGCCGTTATTGCTGAAAACTTTGCAAATATCTTTCTTGATTCTTTCGATCTCTTTTGGTGTTTGCTGGAATGCACCCAGGCCGTCATCTCTGTATAAGCCTCATGCAATTGTAGAGACAAGCATTCTTGTCCGCTAGGTGGCGATTGCCTAATTCAAAACGTGGTCTACCAGGCCACAGTTGAAAGTCTCATGGGAAAGCAAAGATACATCGGGCTTACCGCGAACCAATTTAAAACAAGATTTAGAAACCATACGGATTCATTTAGAAATGAGAACAAAAGGAATGCAACAGAGTTGAGCAAATAAATCTGGACCCTAAAGGACGCCGAAACGGAATTTGCCGTGACCTGGAAAATAATGGCCCGCGCCAGGCCGTACTCGAACGTAACAAAGGGATGCAATCTTTGCGTAACAGAAAAATTTTTCATCATATGCAGACCAGGGGTGGGCACCCTGAACAGAAGGAATGAACTGGCGAGTGCGTGCCGGCACTCAACCAAATACTTGATAAAGCATGCTTGAACCATCAACTTATAAAAGGAACGTTATAAGTTGATGGTTCAGACCCTTTCGAAACAGTTCTGTAGTGCGAAGTTTTAATTTTATTTTCCTACACAATTGATTATATATATACAATAGATATGTATGTTAAGTTAGAAAAGTACAATGACTGCGTTTTCATCCCTACAAGCCTGTTTCGGGATTGCTCACTCATCAGGGGATTTTATAAAAATTTTAAAAATTTTTTATAACCTAACATATATTGCGCTCTACTTTTATGTATCGAGCATTGTAATACGGAAAAATCCAAACGCATACCCTAATATATATATATATTTATATAGGAAAAATATTTTAGTACACGAGGACGGACAACTTCGAGCTAAGAAAGACATATACTCAAATAAAAAGTCTAAGAAAGTTTAATAAAAACGTTTCGGTCCGAGACCTTTGTTTTTTTTTTGGAGGACGCAGATAATGGGTTGACTTACCTTAATCAATCAGCTACAGAACGTTAAAACTTTGTTGTTAGGAATATTTAATAAAGATTGTTTCTGTATCACACACACATAAACATTATTCGTCAAAGGGTCCTCTTAAGAATTGACAGAGAATGGGTTAACTTACTTTTAACAATGACGAGCTGCTCTTGTTCTACTGGTTCACCAACCTTGTCGTCTTCAGTTTCCTGTTTAGATTCTTCTTGGTCTTTTTCGGATACTTTTTCTTCTTTGACCTCAACCTGCTGCTCTTCAGATTTCCCATGATCCTTTTTTGGTTGTCCCTTCTGTTCAGTTTTAAGTATCTGCTGTTTGAATTCTTTAGGGTCTACCTCTGGTTTTCGCTGGTCAGTTTCAACGTGCAGCTGTTCACTTTCATCAGCCTCTTCGTGGTATTCTCTTGGTTTTTGATATCCTTCAGTTTCGTCTTCCTCATGTTCAGAGGGTTCTTCGTGATCATCAGTTGGTTCTGTGTGTCGTTCAGGCTCACTCTGCTCCTCTACTGACTCTTCGTCACTGTAACCACTTTCTACGTCATCCTGGTTTTGGACTGTGGGAAAAAAAAGCCGAAAGAACGAAAGATGGTGTTATAAGACAAGTGCACATACTGATTCGTTTGGTTTTACTTGCATAATATCTGCTGTATCCAGGGGACTGATTTCATCACTGAATTATAATGAATTTGCTTATGGTTGTTTATCATAAGCCAGAAAGAGAGAGCAACAATGTATATTGTCGACTTATGACACAGAATTTGTAAAGGAATTCAGTATGGCGTTTTGATCTTACTGCAATCTGACTCCATCTTATTCTAGCTCTGTATATTTCCGTGTCATTATTTGATGAAATGTTTGCTTACCTTCTTCAGTCACATTCATTTCCACGCCTGGTCTTGACCTAAGGAAAGGCAGAAATGACATTCGGTAACTCAAACAGGTGAACAGAATGATTAACCTCAGGCCAAGTTCAGACGTCGTGCTCCTGCCGTGTCGTACTCAATTCTGAAATTAAGTTCGACAAAAGCATGGTAGAAACACGGCGTCTGAATTAAACTTTTTAATTACGTTTGGCAAGCAATTAAGTCGACAGGCTCTGTCGTGCTACATGACTCTGGCACGACACTGGTGGATTCAAAAGTGGTGTCTCCGCCGAGCCGAACAAATTTCATAGAATGTATTTTTGTGGGATTGCGTTCTCGCGGGAAGTTATGAGAATGAATTGTTACTTTACTTCAGCAGAGCCTTAATTTCGTGCGACCCTAACCCGATGTCTGAGTCAGCGCCGTGTTTCTGCCGTGCTATAGTCGAACCTAATTGCCATTAAGTTCTGGGCACGGCAGAAGCACAACGTGTGAACTAGGCCTTACGTTCGTTGAGACGATTGGGGAAAACTAGATAAAAATCGTACAAAGCAGTTATAATAATAATAATAATAATAATAATAATAGTTTATCAATTTATAGTGCGCTTTTTACATACAATGATCAAAAGCGCATTACACTTTTGATTAAATTAACTGAAACAAAATAATATGTCAAACTGAAAATAGAACTGAATATAAAATTGCTCACCGATATAAGGTTTTAAAAAGATAAGTCTTAATATGCGCCTTTAAATTGTTCACATTAGTAATCGCACGAAGTTCTTCCAGAGCCTTGGCGCTGCTACCATAAAAGCTCGATCACCTAACGTCTTGGATCGAGTAGCTGGCATAGAAAGTAAAATACTATCTAAAGATCTAAGGTTATATAAGGACGATTTAAATGTTAGTAAGTCACATAGATATTTAGGAGCAAGGCCGTGAATTGCTTTGAACGTAATAAGCAGAATCTTAAATTCTATCCGGGCTTTAACAGGAAGCCANATATAAGGTTTTAAAAAGATAAGTCTTAATATGCGCCTTTAAATTGTTCACATTAGTAATCGCACGAAGTTCTTCCAGAGCCTTGGCGCTGCTACCATAAAAGCTCGATCACCTAACGTCTTGGATCGAGTAGCTGGCATAGAAAGTAAAATACTATCTAAAGATCTAAGGTTATATAAGGACGATTTAAATGTTAGTAAGTCACATAGATATTTAGGAGCAAGGCCGTGAATTGCTTTGAACGTAATAAGTAGAATCTTAAATTCTATCCGGGCTTTAATGTAACAGGAAGCCAATGCAGACCGCGAAGAAGGGGTGAGACATGACAAAACCTAGATGCATTACAAACTAGCCTGGCTGAGGCATTCAAAACTCTCTGCAATTTGTTAAGCTGGTAGTTGGGCAGCCCATACAAAAGACTGTTACAATAATCAACACGAGATGTAATAAATGCATGGACAAGCATTTCTGTTGATTCTCGAGACAAATACTTGCGAATGCGTTTGATATTATGCAAATGATAAAAGGCAGCACCACATAACTTGCTAACATGAGTTGACATAGTAAGCCGCTCATCAAACCATGAGCCTAGGTCTCTAGCCACTGTTACCGGACAAACATCAATCGATCCAACCCTAATGCAATTGATGTTAACCTTGGCCAGCTGCTGCCTGGTACCTATAATTAAAAATTCTGTTTTGTTATCGTTTAACATTAGATTATCTGAAATCATCCAACTCCTAATGTCACTGATACAGTCAGTCATGGACTTGATGGCAAGATCAGCATCCACGGATCGATTAGGGCTGAATGATACATACAACTGTGTATCATCCGCGTAGCAGTGAACTTGTGGAAGATGGCGTTCAACAATCTGAAACAGTTTGCGCGTGTACATAGTGAAAAGCACAGGGCCCAAGCATGATCGTTGAGGAACACCTTGTTATAAAGGAAACTGATCTGAGAGACTACCATTTACAGAAACACGCTAGGTCCGGTCAGATAGATACGATTTAAGCCAGGCAAGCGCATTGTCATAAATTCCCAAATCAGACTCAAGACGACCAATCAGCTTATCATGATGTATCGTGTCAAAAGCTGCACTCAAATCTAATAATACAAGCAAGGTGACATGTTGGTCATCCATAGACATCAAGATATCATTTTTAACTTTAAGTGAGGCAGTCTCCGTGCTGTGTTGCTGTTTATACGCCGACTGAAGCAGAGAATGTAAGTTGTTAGCAGTCAGATGCTCCATACACTGCTCAGCCGCAGTCCTCTCCGACAATTTAGAAATATAAGAGAGGTTACTGACTGGACGAAAATTTTTGAACGCAAAGTCCAAGCCAGGTCTCTTGAGAGATGGTAACACAAGCGCCTCTTTCCAGGCCTTAGAAAATTGATCGGTGTCAAAAGAGAGATTAATCAGCTTAGTGATAACTGGCAATAGTACCTCCAGCAACTTGAGAACAATCGGAGTGGGAATGGGGTCGAGTTGACAAGATTAACCCGATGCTCTACTAATCAACATGCGCACTTGTTCTTGAGAGAGGGTCTTGAAACCGGTAAACTGTTCTTTCAGGCAAGTAAGGTCAGTAGCAGTAGCAGGTAGAGATTGTACGGGTGGTGTAGATAAATTAGCCAAAGACGTGTTTATATTCTCAATCTTTTGAGCAAAGAAATTTCCAAAATCATTTGCAAGCTGAATAGTGTCAACACGAGGAAACGATGTAGTGTTGGTGTCACACAACAGGGACCTTCTAACTTTAAACAGTTTTCTCTGATCAGAATTATTTTGCTAGATATGATTGGTGTAATAATCACAGCGAGCTTGGTTCATCAAGTATATTGCATGGTTTTTCTTCTTTTTGAAAACACTTAGATCGTGTGCAGGTTTAGAAGAGCGCCATTTCCTCTCAGCTCTCCGCCTACCCTTAATAGCATCCTTGATTTGGTGGTGAAACCAAGGCACACTCTTCCTATTAGCGACAGTATTAGTTCTCAGGGGGGGGGGTATATCTATCAAGTAACAACGACAGTGTGGAGTTGTAGCAGGAGACCATCACATACAAATGCGTAAAACTATTGGTACACAATTCACACGTCGTTAAATCAGCTCTGAGTGCATCCATGTCAACAGATTTTAGCTGCCTGTAACTGATTTCCTTAACAGCTGTACAGGGTTTCACTGAATCAAATTTACACAGTACTGCAGCATGGTCAGAGATAAAGCGATCGATCATCGGGGCAGACTTAATAACCTGATCATATTGCCTGGTGATCACCAAGTCCAGGGTGTGGCTACCCTCGTGGGTAGGACCAACGACATGTTGTTTTAGGCCAAGCGACGTCAGCAGATCCAAAAATTCACAAGCATCAAAATCGTTCACATCATTAACGTGGATATTAAAATCACCCATAATGATAAGCGGTTCCGGTGTTAGAATAATACTCTCCAGTTATAGGGAAAGCCAAATATTTTTCAAGATATAAAATAGTTTTCCACAATTTTCTACGATTCCACTACCTGTAAGGATCTATTTGTTGTTCCGTATCATCCGCAGGTCAAAATATGATTAATACAATCAGTATATATTTAAGATAATCCAAACTATATGGCTTGCATAAAGAGCAGTAGAAGCAAACATTAGTCCTATGACAATGAAGGAATGACTAATACTAGAATTTATCAAGAGTGAAGCTGACCGAGAGCAAAACAAGGCATGAGCCTTTTTTCCCCGACGATGCTTTCTCTATTAGTATACAAAATTTTTTGAAAGCTATATATAGTACTTTAAGTGTTAGCAGTTACGACAGAAGTCTCTACCCTTACTGATGTATATGTATGAGAGGAAAAACATGCGTGTTTTACTAAGTGTGCCCGCCTCAAACGAAATACGAGTTTCTTAGTAGTGCCGGTGGTCGTAATGCTCTCCAGAAAGGTAAAGTCCACCTACGGCCCAGAAAGCTCGCCTTTTTGGAGCCTGTCAAGCCACCTCCCCCCTGAAAGAAACATTAGTGCATCGCAGAGTTGCCTTCTAGCTTCTCTTAAAATTTCCCTGAAAGTTCCGCGGTACTTAGTTTACTTCTTGGTGGAGATTGGAAATTTGAGGGTTAAAGTGTCGATGAACCGACCAGGGCTGGAACCCAGACCCTCCGAGCGCAACTGTTTACGGTACTAACCACAAGGCCACTATGCTTTCGACAGATATGTGATAGCAGTACAATTTATCATGTGACCCGAGGTAATGAAAATGTGCCAATTGTAGCTTGGCGTTTAGGACACACTAAAAAATTGAACATCTTGCTGTCTATTTTCAGCCAGCTGTATATTAAAGAAGATGTTTGAATGTCTTGTTTGCATTTAAAGTGAACAAGAAGTTTCGTATTCTTTCCACAATGTTGATTGGAATATTGGAGAAAAGGCGATGAAAAGAAATTGAAGTTGATTTTTGCTGTTTGCGTAAAATTTATGTTTTAATGTGAGTCACTATCATATTTACATGTCACAGACGAGGTAGACGCTCATTGGGTATTAATACTTAGTACGTTGGTCAGGTAAGACTCTAAGATGATAGTTTGCCGTCACTTCAGGGGACTAACATCCAGTTTTGGAGGATTAGTAATACTCTGAGTCCTATCATACGAAAGAAAATTGGAGAATCTTCGACCGTAAGCCGCCAGCAGGCTCTTAATATGTTACTTTTCATCAAGGATAAAAACGCAATTTAATACCTTTGAATTAAATATGCTTAAGTAGCTTCCCTGTACCATGTTGACTCCAAAATATAGTTGTTGAGCTCCGCTCGATTAAGTAAATTTCATTGTTTTCATTTCGTCGACACTTTACCATAAAATAACTCCAGACTTGTCGGAACTGGGGCGCAAACGAAAAAATCTGATATTACATTCAAGTTCTACTCTCCTTTTAATGTGCTTGTAATACTCAAACAGCCAGTGTTCCTGCATTTGCGCACGAGGAAAACATTTACCCTCATAGGCTATTTTGAGGTGGTCATAAGGAAGGGGGAAAGAGTTTCATATGCACCTCGTAAATCGACTATGCAATGTACGAGAGGAAGAGCTTGTTTTGAGTAGTACGCGCCATTTTCTGTGATCAGTCATGGCAGAGTATGAGGTGAAATAGCTAAATGTTCACCTAAGAGGCAATTGCCACCGAAAATTCTAATTTCATCACGATCACGATCATAACCAAAATTAATTCAGAGTCCATTGCGGTTGATACTCATATTAGTGATATCATAACATTTCAGTGTTTTGTAGTTTTTCTCCTTGTGGTGGTGGAGAAACGACTTTGAAATATTCAGTTTAAAATAAAAACTGATAAAGAAACAAAAAAGTTACAGTTACCTGACTTAAGATTATATCGCTTTATCCTCTAGCACGTTGTTATGCTGCAGTTGCATCAACTGACATACAAAAAAAATATATTCCATTCACGCATACATGTATGAAACCCTCACAGATGTTTAAAGCTGGTAAGTTGTAGGAGTAAGAACAATTTCATTAATTCATCCACGCAACTTATGAATTTGCGGTGGAGTAGTTGTCCCGCAGGTTGCTGTTTGACTCAGCTCAATATCCTGTTTGTACCAACACCACTTAATAGAAAAAAGAAGGAAAACTTTGGAGTTCACTCCCCTTGCTTGGTGATGAAACATATTTATTCTACTTTTGGAAAGAAGTTTTTGTGCCTGATGATTTTCATTCTACATGCAACACATACATCCAGCTTTGGAAACTCATGATGCGATTTTTTAGCATCAAGTGTCGTAGTTGTGCATAATCATTGCTAGAATTAATTCAGAACGTTACGTCAGAAAGAACGGTTCAAGGATGTTCTTGTTATAAAGACGTATCGTTTGAAAAAAATGTCTCTTGAACAGGTTTCTGGGGGATATCATGTAATGGAATCTTGCACAAAGGTGAAGATAAGTCTTTTAATACATGAAAATTTAGCAGAAAAGCGTTTGTCATGGAAGTGCGACACTGCAGTCATGATATTAAGCGCTCCTGGCACGAGCGGCGACGAGGTTGTTTTTTTTTTTCGTCTTTCCACTCTGACGATCATGCCGCAGCGTTAAATAGAGCTTATTACGGTTCCTTCCAGGAGGAAGAGCAGCAACCCTGTGTCGCTTCAAAAAAATAAGATTTTAGGAAGAAATGAATCATGGATTAGCAGATACGGACGCGCCTGTTTAAAGTGCGATAAGTCAACGCTCAAGCTGATCAATCGTACCATCAGCGTTCTCACGTCCTTTAGCAATCATTGCGTGTTTACGCTGCATATATATGCAAATTATATTCAAACACGAAAAAAACCTATATGTCATACCTCGTCTTTTCCTATTAGAAACATTAAACCCTGATTATCATACACTATCGAGGCAGATGTGTCTCCGAGGCAAGACTTGTAAGCATGTATAATTTTCTGTGTTTGCTACTGTACTGTCCATGATGCTATCGCGTTTACCGATATACAAAACATTTCATAACTTAATCACACATGTTTCAACGAAACCTTCACAGATGTTCGAAGCTGGTTGGACTTAAATGTGCAAATTGAAAAGTTATTCAAGACGATTTGAATTCAAATTTATTTAAGGTGGCTCACAATAGTTTTTAGGTTTTCTAGCACTTTTACATTTGAGGGATTCAATAAAACAAAATAATAATTTTTCTTACACTTTCTTGGTAACAGCTACTCGCTCAGTCATCAGTGAACCAAAACATAGTCACGTGGCGTCATCAGCTGTTACCATAGCAACAGCATATGGTTGTAAATAAGAGCCATCATGGAGCTTCTAACGCTAATAGCGCAAAAATTAACTCGGTGACCCCTATTTTTCTTAATCTTATCCAATTTTACATGGAAGTGGAAGCAATCATAGAGAGTTTAAAAAAAATCTCTGGAGCAGATTTTATGTAATTGCTAAAAACCGTAATTTTTGAGTGGCTATAAATCCGGTCCAGAGAATTTTTTTAAATTTTACCAGTACTTTTCTCTTAGTCCACACTACCCAATTTTAAAATAAAATAGTGGGGTCACCGGACTTGTTTTTTAAATAATTCACTTCGCGTCTAAAGAAAATCCACGCGCGTCTCGCGCGTTTCCAAAATCTGGCCTTTACAAGATCCCGCTTTTCGCATGCGCATACGTTGTCCGCTGGTCAAAACCTTGATTTGTTTCGAAGAGTCACTCGCTCGATTTTCGGTCGATTTCATCAGCTTAATTAGTCGTTCAAGTGGACCTGTAAATTATTTTTCAAGTGCCGTTAACAACCTTGCTTCGTTGCTACGTTTTGGAGAATTTCGGTCATTTAAATCTGGCTAATGTTACGCGAGGTACGTACATTGTCATCAAGCACCTCCAGAGGCACAACACGTGCTGGCCAGTTTCTGCAGTTTAAATGTGGTTAAATGGAAACACATGAAGTTACAATTTACCAACAATGGAACCAAAGGAACTATTCTTCTTTCGGAAATGTTTCCTGAAAGTGGTTTGCAATGGCATCGAGAATACGCTTTGTTCGAGTGACACGAGGTTTCCTCGCTGTGTTTTGGGAAGGAGGCATGCTGAGGATCGCAAGCAGCCCCTTTGTTCCGAACTTTAAATATAACTCTTTGAGATGTGAATAGGAAAGCCCACTTCCTGCAATCTTCTGAGCCATTGATTGTTTTATTGCACCACTGTCGTCCCTGGGGTCGAAAAGTCNTTTTTTTTGTGATCGTTGCTTCTCTTTCACTTATAAAAATAACAAATAACAGTTATGGCTTCTTTATTTGTCAATTGAACGAAACGGTTAAGCAAGTATATGCAAGTTTTGCTCGCATGGAATGCATAGATTCCAACATTTGCCATGCTAAATGTGCTTATTAATCTAGTAATTACTTTACCGTAGGCTACAAAAAGAAATGGGGAAATGTATGTTTAGACCAGTATACCGGGAGGTGACTTCTGACAACCTGTTAGGAGGGGACGAAAAATGGGGTGTGTCCAGCATATGGAAAAGAGGGTCGGAAAAGAAGTTTTCTTCTACAAATAGAACTTGATTTTTGTAGTTTTAGTTAAGTGCTTTGAGTAGTTGATATAATACAGCCGTCGATATTATTTATTGAAGGGCTTTGCTTCAGCAAAACCTTTCCTTTCTCTCTCACCGCACCTCGAGTGTCGGCTCTTCTCGTTTGTAGCAGCAGCTGTTATTGCCTAAAAATAAAAGCTGAATTAACAGTTTAAACTATACCTAAATAGCGTAATTGTGTTTGTAAATAAATTCATCCTATTTGAAGAGACATCGCATGGTCTATAAATAGACCGATTCAATCGCTACGGCAGGAAAATCTCGTTTTACTCGATTTAATTACCTCCAACCGAGCATTATTCTATCAGGCGTAATTTTTCTTCTATCCCATTTTTTTCAGGCGTGCAAGCGACGGGAAGCACAAGACGAGCTCGAAGGGTGGTTCACACGCGAGAAGAGGATCATGACTCGTCTTTTTACTCGTCTTTTTACTCGTCTTACTAACGAAATTGGCGAATTATATCAATCAGCCTATAAGAGTAATCATAATACAGAGACGGCTCTCATTAGAGTTCACAATGACATAGCCATGGCGATAGATCAACGTAATTCAGCTATCCTTGTACTCTTCGATGTTTCGGCTGCATTTGATACCGTCGATCATGGTCTTCTCCTCTCACGACTGTCCAATCGCTTTGGAATTGCTGGAACTGTACTGGAATGGTTTCGATCATATCTTTCCGATCCTACACAGTTTGTGCAGGTTAATGATGCATGCTCTGCTTCTCATGTTCTCGAGTCTGGTGTACCGCAGGGATCCGTTCTCGGCCCGCTGTTATATTCATTGTACAAATCCCCTCTTGGCGAGATTGCTCGACAACATCAAATGCTCTATCACTTTTATGCCGATGACACTAAGCTATATATTACGTTCAGGACGTCGTCTGTTTCTGATATGAATCTGAGTAACACCAAATCGGTAAACTGTGTTCGGGATGTGGATGCATGGATGCTTTCCAACAACCTGAAATTAAATAAAGACAAGTCTGAAGTTCTCGTAATATCCTCTTCCCATCGACCTCGGCCGCCACTGTCTTCTGCTGAGATATCAAATGAGACCGTATCCTGCTCCCCCAGCCAGTACACGAAATATTGGTGTTATCTTTGATCAGTCCCTTTGAATGGTACCTCATGTCAGTGCAGTCTGTAAATCGTCCTTCTTCCATCTTCGTAACATTGGCTTCATACGCAAATATCTTACTTATGATACAGCAGAGATCATTATTTATACCTTAGTAGTTTCTAAACTTGATTATTGTAATTTTTTATTGTACGGCCTACCATCCTATCTTATTCGAAAGCTTCAACAAATTCTGCCGCTCGCCTTGTCAACTAGCGTCCAAGATTTTGCCATATTACTGCAGTCCTGCGAGATCTTTACTGGCTCCCTGTTTCCCTTCGCATTGAATTTAAAATTATGTTAATTACCTACAAAGTGCTACATGATCGCGCTCCAATCTATATACAGGAACTCCTTCAATTATATACACCCAAGCGCAATCTTAGATCCTCTAATAAAAATCTATTAGTTAAACCCTTTTTCAATCTCAATTCATATGGTAAACGAGCTTTTTCTGTTGCTGCTCCGGAACTTTGGAATAACTTACCTGAGGATTTTAAATCTGCAAACTCAATTGACGATTTTATACGCAAACTTAAAACATTTCTTTTTATTCGAGCTTATGAATCGTAATGTTTATGAATCTTATTT